CTAAGGAGACAACACCGGGAAAACGAAAGAATAATCATCAACACAATTATTATGTAAAGTTTGCACCTTCAAGCCATATACGTAATGGAAAATCCGCACTGAGCAAGAAAAAACAAAGGACACAAAAGAAACTGCTCAGGTTCTTTTAAAGGAAAAGCTCAAGCCTTTGCCGCAGCATTGTTTCTGTGTTGGTCAATCAAAGCTCTGAGGAAATTAGATCTGACAGGTGGAATGTCCTGCTAAAATACTTTGGCCTCTGCCCCCCGCTCACATGACCAAAGTGTGATCACTGAATAAATAGATAGTAAATAGATATACAGGAGAAAAAACAGACTGTGTGTTTAAGAACAACGAAAAATATATATCAGTGAGAGAAGAGCATTAGACAGGGATACTTATAGAAGGGGATCAAAGGGTTAACATCAGATATTCTACTAGGTTAGATTTGCTTGATGCTGGGTAGCCTGCAAATGCTCCTGTGCGGCGCTACATTTCATATCCCTGAACATGTGGCAGATTGTATGTATGTCACTACTCCACCCCTGTGGCTAATCCGTGAAACTGCAGATCCACAAGTGACAAAATTATGTAACGAATCCACTCTTGATTCCCCTGAACTGAATTTTTGCAGAGTTTTTGTTTTATTCTTGTGCAAATTCCCATCAACATATACATTCATGCAAACTTCTCTCTCTTTCTCGGATTATTAAATTATAATTTGCTGTGTGTTCAGCAAAAGGACACTACATTCAATCTCGAGTTGTTTTGAAATCACCAACCGTGATAATAAAATAGGATGTGAAACACCGACGCTGTCAAAAAACCATAATGACTTTCAATTACTGCAAATTCAAAACCAGAAAAAGCAAAACAGAAGCTGAGCTTTTTCAACACATCGACGACCCCTGCTGGCTTCACTTGGCAAGACTTTCACGCGTGTGCTTAAAAGCCATTAATACAAATTACATTAGAAAGGACTCAACCTTATAATGATGCTGGAATAATTCATACAGCTATTTTAAAAATATGTAAAAATTTAAATCTACAGTATGTAATAAACATGTGATGCAAGAGTGAACTGTTACATTCATGTTAATGATTTCTAGTGTGCAGATGCATCAGATCCTGAAGGCATATGTATATATTTACATATTTTTTTCATACAGATAATAACTAGAATGGCTTGTGCATGTTTCTGTATGCATGGTCTGTATACACACTGTATAATCTGTATCGTTATTGCATTTACTTGTAAGTACAGTACATAAGATAAAGGCTATAACTATTAATGCCATCATCATGAGGTAAAAATGTTAGGGATGTTAATAAAATATAAATTGTTAAAGCAGAATTATAGTAAAATGGATTTACTAAGACAGTAATGAATCAGTGCCCATATTTACAAAATGTGAATGTGCATAGAATAGTAATACTTAGATAGATTTACATGTGCATATTGCTGCATGCACAAGATTTCTATGAATGCATGCACACATATGGAAGGTTTCTTTTTCATTTGACTATGCAGTGCTGTAAATCCTTGGTACACCGCATGCAGCAGCAGCTTGCAGCACCACCTCTAGCAGCAATAACTCAATAACTATTGAGTCTCTCACGTTGTTGTTAGAAGAATTTTGTCCCACTCTTCTTTGTGAATTTGCTTGGGTTCTTTGAGGTTTGTGGCTCTGGACTGCAACCACAGCATTTCAGTGACCTGAGGTCTGGGCTTTGACTCGTCCATTGCAACACTTCTTTTGTTTTCCAGTAGTTCTGTTGTAGATTTGCTGCAAAAGAACAACTGGAGGACTGCAAGGAGACCAGGACTGCAAGGAGACCAGGTGCTGTGTTTGCAAAACAAATTAAAGAGGAATCACTGTCTTGCTAGTTAGTATGAAGTGTTTGCGTATTATGTACAAAAATCTAGACACCTTTGGTTTTGTCTTTTGAAAGGACATTGTTCTAGGAGTGTTGTGGTTTCTAGAGAAACTGAAGCTGTTATCTCCTGGCAGCCTGTCTAAACAAGCTGCACTTCTTCAGTCTTCAACTTTAACTTTTAAAATGCCGAGGCCTGCAGAGTCTGGGGTGTAGCTATTGGATTTTGTGTAGTTTCTCTGAGCACCGTAGGGCAGACCTTGGTCTTATTTTGGTGGTATGTCCACTCTAAAGATTGAAGTGTTTGCTACACTGTATTTACAAACACTTGCTGCAGACCAGCAAACTGCCAAAACTTCTGCTGTTTGTGTTGTTGTTAGCCAGAAATGCGGTTTTGTGTTGTTTTTGTTGGGAAAATAAATATGCTTTACATTTCAGACTCCTGTTGTTATGACTACCTTGTTTTGTCTACTTGGTCGCTCGACCAAGCTCACAACAAAAAAATTTGACTCCTTCCTAATATGTGTATATATATATACTCTATATATTATATATATATATGATCTATATGATATAGTAGTATAACTTATATTATAGTATCTATATATATATATATACTTATATATGTATATATATATAGTAGTAATATATATATATATTTATATATTATATAAGTGTTTTTTAAATAATATTCAATTTAGCTATCCAAACCAAACTAGTCATGTGTGAAAAAGTAAGTATATTCACTGTGATTAACCACATTTTTGGAAAGGGGAGTTCAGTTTCACTAGCCGTGCCCAAACTTGTGTGAAATGAAGTAGACTAAAAGATCTAAAAAAGCAACACGTCATGCCACGAGCTAAAGAAACAGCAGAGAAACAAAGTCACTGATATCTATCGGTCTGGAAAGGGTTACAAAACCATTAGTAATGCTTTGGGACTCCAGTGAACCACCGTGAGAGCCATTATCCACTAATGGAAAAAAACATGGACTGAACCTTCCCGGGAGTGGCCAGCTCAACAAAATTACTCAAAGAGCACATCCAGAACTTATCCAGGAGATCACAAAGGAACCCTGGCCTCACTTGCCTCAGTTCATGATTCAATAATAAGAAAGAGACTGGGCCTCCATGGGAGTTTTTGTGTCATGTTAACATTTCATAAAGAGATGATACCAATAGTGAAACATGGTGGTAGCAGTGTGATGGTCTGGGGCTGCTTTGCTGCTTCAGGATGACTTGCTGTCATTGATGGAAACATGAATTCTGCTCTCTGCCAGAAAATCATGAAACAGAATCAACGGCCATTAGTTCATGCACTGAAGCTTAATCTCAGTTAGGATATGCAGCAGGACACACCAGCAAGTCCACCTCTGGATGACTAAAACAGCATAATGAAGGTTTTGAACAGACTTGAATCTAATTGAGATGTTTTGGCCTGAGCTTAACAAGGTCGTTCTTGCTTAAAAACCATCCAAATGTGTCTGCATTAAAATTCTAATTTTGGACAGAAGAATGGGCAGTGGTTTGGGTACCTTTTCCCTTAATAAATTAAATCATCATTTAAAAACATTTTGTATTTATGTGGTTATCTTTGTCTAATATTAAAATGTGTTTGATAATATGATACGTGTAAGTGTGACAAATACAAAAAAAAGGAAATCAAATATTTCACAGTACTGTATGTATAGATTAGCTGGAGTTTGGCCCTACGGCACTTTCTACGTAAGGTGTAGAAGTTTAAACAGCCATTAAAGAAAAGCACATATCAAAGAAAAACATTTGAGAGTGCTATAATGTCCTTATTTTCAAAAGTGAACAACTTTCTTTTTAATCTTATGAAACATGAACTGATGAGTGATGATGCACAATGTCCATTTAATGTTTAATGGGATCATTAATCATACATAATTTATGTTTTTTAATGGATAGAAACACAGAGCTTATAACCGCCACTTCGGTGTTCCAATAGCATAGTGTGTTACCTAAGAATTTATAATTATGCTCTGTTTTTATGTTATATTAGATTAAAAAAATATGGTTTTCTTTCAAAAAACCAAATGTTTTTTTGTTTGTTTTTTTAGATGTGGTGTACTTTTATTTCTGTGATCTGTCATTTATCACTCAAAGAAGTTTTTGTAGTTTGTTAATGTTGCTACTTAATCTGCATTGTTGGATTGAGCAAGTGTGCGTTTAATCTTCGTGTTCTGATTTTATTTTTATTTGCTTTTGTAATAACTGGCCAATAACACTTGCTGAAAATGAAGTTAGAAGGTGTCAAATACCTGATTATATTACATTAACTGTTTATTATTGTTATTATGCCTTTGTGTTTATTCTGCATTTGAATGTTTCCCTGCAAAGTTAAACCAGTTTTAACTACTTAACAGCGCCACTGCCGGCTTTGTTCGCCAGTATTAAAACAGTGAACTGAAGCAAGTAGTTAAGCTGTGACGTTTTATGAGCAAAATCCTTGTTACTTAATTTATCTTTAGCTGTCAAACAAAACAGAGAGGCCGATATCTGCTTACTGAAGTTGCGTTACTTAAGTAAGTTATTTGAAGACATGTTTATTAGCTGCATGTCAACATCATTGTTGAGTCATAGTCACAGAAGATATCTGAATGCGACTGCACCAAGCTCAACAGGAAAACGACAATCTTAACGAGCTCTTATTAACCTGACGGGGTAAATTTCAAGCCACCGAAGGGTGACTTTACCACGAACACGGAGCTCAAAGAAAGTTCAATCCTTCATGTTGACGAATAGTGCGAGTCTGATAAGTTTCCCTCTGCTTTACCGTTGGGAAGTTATCCCTCTTGAAGGCACTGCCATTTGCAGATATGGTATCATGTGTCTCCTTACTGGAAGTCAGACTGCATTATGTTGCAAAATGACTCAACATTACTCCGCCTACGACTCGTTCTCTGGAAGTTCACCATGCCCACTGCACTCACTTACAGTTTCTGTTTCAGCGCAATGATAAATACAGAGGCAGCAGTATACCCCCCTATCGCGGTCTTCCACAGACACAGTGCAAAATTCACGTAGTCCCAGACTAAAAAAAACAGAAGAGAAAAAAAGAGCAGTTTTCCTGTTTGGGAACACTTGGCTGTGAATCATACAGCAGCCCTGGTAGCTGTCCAACTGCAAACACACAGTACACACAGGTCATGTGCGAACTTGAAGGCAGGAAATAAAGCGCGCTCCTCTGTTCGTGCGTAACAGGGAAGTGAGTCTAACCTAGTTTCTACGTTGTTAAAAGTTGCTGCGAACGGCTGGCACCGAAAGTTCCGTTTTCTTCTGTTTTATCGACGCGTATTGCTCAGCTTTCCGAATTCAGCTTCAGCATTACATCGAGACACTGAGTGATGGAAGAAGGGCACGTTCTGTAGGACTGTTCGGTGGACTTGTAAGCCCAGCAGAGGGGGAAGAGGCGACGAGCTGCAGCTATTGTTTTTTTTCAATGTTTTGAGTTCTCTACTTAGCCGAAGGTAAGCGTCAATGTGCCTTGTTTCATTCTGCTGGTGTTATCTCCGCTCACCACGAAACCGTGTCAGTTCCTAGAATCGCGCGTAATGGATGTGAGTGTTTGTCATGTTTTGCTTGTGTAACAACAGGCAGGATGGACGTCCGTTGGCCTTAAACACAGCCTTACGTCGCAGTTTTGTCACGTTTTATTTCTTTGAACACCAAAATAGTGATTATGATTTTTTTAAAATATATTTTTATCTTATAAATAAGTATTTGGTAAATACTTGTCTTTTACGAAACGTGGAAGGGAGTTATGTAATTATCAAGGCAGCATGAATGTTGCCACCTTAGTCCCTCCCTTCATGCCTTGCTGTCCAACTGTTTCATCCTGTACCCTCATTACTCCAAAATGTGTGCCGTTTTTGTGGCACCAACACTTATACTGGATGGAACCAGAAAGAATTATAGGCATCAAGTTCATATCATCTAGTGCAGTAATCTTATGACATCTCACAAATATTATAGTTCTAGTAAAACAACATTTCCATTGCGTGCAAGTGTGCACTTTAAGTCTTTAAAATAACTTTAGAATAACTAAAGATAGTTACTCTGGCAGGGATCCAGTTTTCAGCCTGGCACCGCTGTGAAAACAACACAGCGGTGTAGCTGATGGGTGCTGTGTGAAGACAAGGATATGTCCTGCAAATGTTCAGAGATAAGGCAGCGCTCCTGGCAGGCAGATGGGCACAGTCATGAAAATGATTCACACTATAAACTCGCCATCAGTTAGCAGTCCTAGAAACATGAGAGTCCTCCCCACTACTTCCCACAGTACACGAAAGAAACAAGCGGAAGTCTCTTGGTTTCTCTTTCAAATCAAATAGTTTGATTTGTGTGACTGTTGTGTGTGACTCTACAACCTTTATTTTATTGCACTCACACAAAAAAGTCCAAGCATAAGCTGCAAAGAGGGAGCTGCTTTTGCACATGGAAAAGTGGTTGTTCTCTACATTCTTCTGCATTTTCTTGGCTTTTATGTTTGCGTCTGTCTACGCTGTACACAACATAATCTGTGTTGGCCTTGGAGGAGAAATCTCTCCTTATGTGTGTCAAAAGCGAGGGCCTTGCTCACGCTACATGTTATACTTCAGCTTTGTGCACAATTTTTTCAGTTGCTGGGGAAGTAATTTTTGGTGATCTCACTTAAAGCACAGGAAACTTAAGCCTTACTTATACACAAAAACAACAACAACAAAAACAAACAAACAAAAAACCCAAAACAAAAAAAACAACAACACAAAAGCACTCTGAGACATATAAAACTAATACCGTATGGTAGATAGTAAATAATTGGGTCTACCACCCATTTACACATTTGTCCTGACAAACCCAACCTGCCATCGGCAGCTCCACTCCGATGGCAGGTTGGGTTTGCTTTTTGTGTTGTTGTTTTTTTGTTTTGGGTTTTTTGTTTGTTTTTGTTTTGTTTTTGTGTCACAAACCCCACAAACCCTGACAAACCCAACCTGCCATCGGAGTGGGGCTGCCGATGGCAGGTTGGGTTTGTATAATTTCCCTCAGATTGTCAGGTAAGGCGACCGTGGCTCAGGGGGTTGGGAAGCGCATCTGTAACCAGACGGTCACTGGTTCGATCCCTGTGCTCTCTGTCCTGGTCGTTGTGTCCTTGGGCAAGACACTTCACCTACTGGTGTTGGCCAGAGGCGATATGGCAGCCTCGCTTCTGTCAGTCTGCCCCAGGGCAGCTGTGGCTACAACTGTAGCTGCCTCCACCAGTGTGTGAGAGTGAATGAATAGTGGCATTGTAAAGCGCTTTGGGTGCCTTGAAAAGCGCTATATAAATCCAATCCATCATTAAAGGGCGCCATATATCCAAAAAGATATTGTCATTACCGCTTAGTTTCGCACTCAGTCTTTCCATTTGTAGGACTCTAAAGATTTCTTTATACCACTGAGTTATTGTTGGTGGTTTTTCATTGATCCAATTAAAAACAATACATTTTCTTGCCAAGAACAATAATTTACATAGTAGTTTATATTTGTTTTTATCTGGAAATTTGTTCAGAGTTGGCAGCCCCAATAAATACTGAGCTGGATCTTTTTGTATTCTGCTTTTAAATATACCTTTTAATTCTTTTGTTACACAGAGCCAGAATTTTAAATTTTTGAGCAAGTCCAAAGACAGTGCAAGTAGGACCCCGCCGCAGATTTACATTTAATACATTGTGCAGACCTGCTCGGATCAATTTTATTCAGAAAAATAGGCATTCTATACTGTCTATGTAAAATTTTATATTGTGTTTCTTTAAATCTGTTACTAAGAAATAAAGAATGCACAGATTGTATGCACTCACTCCAGGCATGATCATCACAATGACACTGGAGGTCACCCTCCCAACTCCTAATCAGTTTTCCAATATTAGATATAAGATAAGATAGAACTTTATTAATCCCTCGGGTGGGTTCCTCTGGGAAATTCGGTTTCCAAAAGCACAGCACCGACAGAAGTTACAGTTACAGAATATTATATATACACACACACACACACACACACACACACACACACACACACACACACACACACACACACACATATAAATACAGAGACAATATAAATAAAATATACGAAGGGGATAAATAGAATAAATAGGAATAAAAATAAAAATACAAGTGAATTGCACATTTCAAGTATTGAGGTCTATTGCACCATTGACTATTTACAAAAGTATTGCACAGTGAGGTGAAGAGGCACTACAGCTTAGTTGTTCCCCCCTCCTTTGTCCTCCTGTCTCCCCTCCCTCTCCCCTCCAGAGAGGAGTTAAACAGTCTGATGGCGTGTGGGACAAAGGAGTTTTTAAGTCTGTTGGTTCTTGTCTTGGGGAGAAGCAACCTGTCACTGAACAGACTCTTCTGGTTGTTAATGGCCGTGTGCAGAGGATGCCCAGCATTGTTCATAATGTCCAGCAGTTTTTTAGTGTCCTTTTCTCTGCCACTGTCACACTGTATTATGTTTGTTATGGCCTTGTAGTGTATTATAAAACTGTCTTATAGTACTTTTAGCTGCATTTAAATGTAAAAAGAACTTTTCCATGGGTCCTAGTTGCATTGTATTGTGTAAAGTATCAAAACTTGAAGTAATTAAGTGACGGGCCTGTAAAAATGCAAAAAAATCCATTTGATGTATTCCATATTTCTTTTGGACCTGCTCAAAAGAAATACAATCATTCCCATTAAACAAATCACCAACCACACGTATTCCTGCGCCAAACTATCTCCGAAATACTGCACTTGTCATTCCAGGTGTAAAGTGCTGATAATTTATAAAAGGTGTTAGGTAACTCAGTATAGGATTACTTTCAGTGTATTTGTTCATATCCCGGCATGTTTTTAAAATAAGTATCAATCATTACTTGTTATGTTTTTTTGTATATTTACTCACTAGTTCACTTAAGAGATTAAATGGCGAACATGTCGAGGCTTCAAGGGGATTCTCTGTCTCTTTTAGATATGCGTGGATCCATTTGTGTATGACTCTACTATGGCATGACCAGTTATAAAGCACAATGTTAGGAAATCATCTAGTTTGACTTGCGGAGCAGCTCGAGTTCTGGCAATGCTCTCAACATTGGCCAAACAAAATTTAGACTCGATCTTGATGTTTTATAGGATTTGTTTCTGAATGGTTATAGTTATAACTGTAGATCTGTAGGAATCTTCTGGAAACTGTAATAAAAAATATCACTCAGCAGCAATTTCACTTTTGCTTTTCAAGAATTGAATGTTGATTTGAACTCATCAAGTAATCAACTGATTTTATTCATCAGTTACTCTTACTATTAGTCAGAATTTTTTTGATATGTATGAGTCACCAAAAGTAAAGGTTGAGTGTGTTTTCTGCAGTATTATATTATATTATATTATATTATATTATATTTGCTATTGTTTAAGACAAAAAGTAGCAACACGTTTTTGAAATATGGAGGTACTTTGGATCACTGATGAGTCGCTCTGCTGTTTCAGACTTAAATTGAATTAATCACCAAAACAAATTTTCCAAAGATTTTTAACCTTCTATGAGATGTTTTGTTTTTTTCTACCATTTTACAGAATAATTGAATGGATGATTTAGAATTGAAATGATGAAATAATTAGAAGTAATCTTTATTTACTGTCAGTGGTAGGAGATTGTGTTAGGAAGGGTGTGTATTTAGAAAGTGAAGTTAACGAAAAGGCTTAAAGGAGTCATTCTTCTTCCCATGAGCCAAATTATACGATTTTTTCTAGTCATATAATTCGATTCGAGTTCAAAACAGTCGCATAAGAAAAGCAAATTTCCCCACATTGGTTTCTGAGAATGCCAGTGGAAAATGACCAGTTATGGTTTGACTACCCCGTAAGATTTTATCATATATAATGATATGAACAGAAGGTCTTCAGGTAGGTCTGGGTTTTTCCCTATTTCACCCAGTAATGTTTATTCAGAAAAAATAGATATATTGTATCCCTGGTGAAAAGCTGAATATTTGTTTTTATTACACAATTCAAAGCGTTGAGCTGTGAAAATAAAAGGTTTTTTTTATGGCACTGTTTGTTTATGACAGCGTACCTTGACCTGGTGACACATTTGGCCATCAACACAACAGCAACAAGATGCGAATGAGCTTCTGCAGAAATGCTTTTTCTCTCAGTGTCTGTGTAGCAGTGCGTCTGTCATCCTTCGTATTTTGACTGAATTCACCAGGGCAGTCTGCAGACAGCGTAGTCTCTGAAACACTGCAAGCCTTCACTGGCCAAGGTTTTTGAATAATGCATTAACTGATAATAATAATGAATATGGAAAAGTAATACAAAGTGATAAAGTACAAAACATGTCCTGATGGATTCTTGTTTAAATTGTTACATTTCACAGCAAACGTGCCAGTCAGATAAAAACTACTGTTTTCATTTGCTGATCATGCAGTGCTCCCGTTTAAGGGGGATTTCTCTATGCTGCACATTTTGGGTAACTTTATGAAAATGCAACCAGAAAAGACAATAATACTGTAGCCACGTGATAAAGATTTGCTTGAAAAAGCAAACTCCCATAAAATAATCTGTGTAGAATTGAATAATATGAGCAAGTTTACATGTTAGAAGACAATTTTAAGGGATCTCTTTCTTTAACTTTGTTCCACACTGTAGATCCCCTCGCCTCCCAACTGGGGAAACTCCCATGATATGACACGTCCACTCACATCTAGCCTATATTAGGCATTATCATAGAAATAGGAAGTAAATATTTGGCCTGGCAAACGATTTCAGCCGGACCTGTTGCAGTTTTCTCATTTATGTCAACTTGTGAGGCCAAATAGTGACAGGAGAAACTTAATCATTCTGAGTTACTCTCAGGGGATAAATGCTGGAAAGCTGTTCAGCACACCAGAGGGATGTACGTGCAGCAGGCTCCTGATGTTGAGATAACGCTAGTATAATAATATTGTGTAATCACACAATACAAACATGCACAGTCTTGAAAAAAATAAACCGATTAGTGTTCTTTAATGGAAAAATGTTAAATAAATGACAGAAAATGTAGGCACAGAAAGCAAGGAATTGGCAGGCAGGCACGAGTTTCCACGTCTATCTACAAACTACATAAGGGGCAGGAACTTGCAGAGACCACTAAAAGCCTGAATCGGTAATCTGACAAATATGCTATGATGCTATTCTTTGATTGACTGTGACAGTTGTTTCTTAAACATCGGTGTTGTATTTTGCAACCCTCTGACTTGGCAGTAATTCAGTTATGTTTGTTAAGCAGCTTAAAGAGGAAAAGGCTAAGATAGTGATGGATTATACACTTAAACTCAAACAAGGTCATTATTAGGGTCTAATCTTTAACCCAACCAGTATAGCAAGTATAGCATGGCAAGGTTCTAGATAACTGAGAGAATAAGAACTTTGTTATAAACTGCTGCTTGACAGTGAAAACTGTCGAACAAATCAGCCTTTTGGCTACAACAAAGAGCCACGTTACAAAAGCCCTAACCCAGTATATAAACACAGGGCCAACGCAAGAGGAAAAGACTCAAATAATTCCATTGTCTTTTTCATACTCCTGCATACACCTACATAATTATAGCTCTAGAACCAGGTCAGTCAAAACACAAGAAACAAGAGCAGAAAGCCCTGTATTACAGCCTGTAGGGTTTTTCCCTCTGAGCTGTTTTGGGTTCTGTGTTGCCCAAATCTAATGTTACAGCACAACCAGAGGGACTAGGAACACGAAATCACATGTACATTGAAGTTATTTCTGTTATGCTGTTTCTATTTTATAGTAAAAATTCAAATTAAACATGTACATTGTGTCGGCTTCTTTGTGCATTTATTCATCAACCGATTTGCTACCATCTGACTAGTAATATTCAGTCATATTCATGTAGGACTATGTCAAAGTTATAAAGTCCTTTACTGTTATAAACGTCTCTTCATAGATGGTTTCTTGGTGTCAGCATTAACAGGATCCAACATTACATTTACCATACATTTTCCGACCATGAGTGAAGTGGGGAAATCAAACATCATATCTGTAGTTGCAGTCTTCATAAGCATATAAAGACTGGTCACTAAATGATCGTGTCAGGTTAGATGAGCTGCTCTCTACTAAAACTCTTAACATGATAAGTTTCTTCTGAACATTAAAACTGGCTGCATTGTTGTGTAACGATGCATGGCACCTAATTATGTTGGGATTCTGTGACCTGAGGAGTGGCACTTTTGTGGAATAGACTTTTACTGCTGGATCTTATTTGGTCTGTATCAGATCAACAGCTTTGAATCTCTTGTTGTGTTCCTTTGGCTGTTTATGACTCATCCTTAGTGGTGCGTGTTGTCCTTATAGGGAAGGAGTGGGTTTTATGGGGTTTGTCAGATTTACGGCAATGTTTACGTGGGTGTTGCATATTAACGTAACGTCCACAAGAATGCCGGGACTTGGAAGAATTTAATTCCTGGAACAGGTAACAAGTCAATTCTGTTAGTTTTACGGATAAGCTTTTAGATTACAACCATGTTTAAACTGGGTTTTATTACTGTGTGTTGCTACATTGCTGTGTTTTTGTGTTTACAAAATGTCTGCACACAGACAGACTTCTACATTTGGCTTTGTGATTGTGCCAGTTACTGTTTTTAACATGCTGGCATTTTTAAAGATAACGATCTGAAAAGCTGTTTATATTTGACAAAGCTTTTGATAGCATGGTGAAAAGTGCCACAACACTGAGATGATGCATTTTTTTACATTTTCAGTAAAAGATAAATGTGAGACTGTAACATAATAAAAATTGACGGGTTTTTTTTTATATTAAAGAGGCTCTTGAAGCAGTGCACTTTGTCAAAAGTTTGCTATTCAAAATGCAAAAACATACATGTGAGTATGTAACACTGCAAACGCAATCCAATACACACGTGCACACTCACTAATCTCTGCAGCTGTGGAGTGATAGTTGCTGGATTTGAGGAATTCTGGCTCGCTCGGTGGAAACGCTGTTACGCAATGCTTTGTTTTGTCAGTTAAGATACAAAAGTTTAAAAAAAAGTTGCTCAATGTTACAAAACAGAAATCGTGACTCGGGAATGGCAGTTTTCTTGCTTGTGTCACACCGCCTTAAAAAGCGTATAATTTCTGTTGGAGAGGTCCTACAACAGGTGCCTCATGTTTCCACCAACTTACATTAATAATGAATCAGGAAATCCTTTTCAACTTACATAATTACAGTATTACTGTCAAAAGATATGCAAGGCTTTGTATTACAGTGAAAATCAAACGGCTCATCAACATGCCAGTCGGAAAGTTTAACTTATGGTCAACTGTCTGACTTTCATGTTAGCTTTAGAAAAACAAGCGTGCGGTTAGACTGTAGTTGGTTGATCCCAGCAGGATCATTTAAAAACATTTATATCTCCGCAGCTGTGCAAACTGTTTATGAACAGCGTATGTGCATGTTTTTGCTACTGGCGCAGTTGAGCTCTGATATCTGTTGCAGATATTACAAATTAATTAAAAATAATCAATTTGTTGCTTTGTTATGCTATTCAGTGGATCCTTAGTATGACCAACCAATACTGGCCTATCACAGAGATTCACAGTTACTGTTGTTTTGCTTATGTGCTGTCTGGTATGCAGCGAAGGGCGACTAGTGATAGGTAGGAAATAAAATATGGTGTCAACAGAGCAGCTCAGAGTTTTTTTTCTCATTGTTTAAATGTGCTCAGGCCTGCTTTCAGCACATGTTGCAGAGTCGGCTGAACAGATGGTTGTTAGGGCTAAAGGGGTATCACAGCAATGGCTGGCTTGTTTATAAAAACACGAACAGTGTTACATACTGCATGTGTATGTATGTATAGAGATGAAAATCATATTGGGTGATAAATTTAAAAAACCTAACCTGGGGGGGGGGGTTATGGGGTTTTTTTGGGGGGTTTTTTGGGGTTTTTTTTTTGCTTTTTTTGTGTATATAAAAATTTAATAAAGTTTGAGTCAAAAAAACCAAAACAAAAAAAACCTAACCTTTTCTCCATAAAGAGTGGCGCTGACCTAAAAATTCCAGCTCTTGTCTCTTTGACAAACATTCAGATAATTTTGATCTGTATTCTCTTTCTCCCTCTGGACCCATAAAGCAGTGGTTAACACATTAGCCTAACAAGGAAAAGCTCTCTAGTCTGATCCCAGAGGAGGCACAGCTCCCTTGGTTGTGTCAGGATGGACATCTAGAGTAAAAAATCAAATCAAACACTACAGACTGTAGCGTCTCCTGTTGAATGAAGGAGCACCTCAATGTTGATATGCTGTTAAATCAGAAAGATGCGCTGTTTAGTTCCACTGTGTTTAAAAAAAAAAAGTCATGGGAAAGGTTAGAAACATGTAATTTCTTTTTACTCCCTAGCCCTGCGTGATCATGGCCCAGTGGATCCACATGACCCAGATATTGCAGCATCTGCCTTATGAGACAGTCAGCAGCCTCTATCCACCAAACACCTTCCCGATTGAAGTCAGGCATTACATATCTGAATGGATAGAGAACCAACGATGGTATGATGCACACACATACTGTACATGTACATGCTTGTATAGTTTATATATATACATTATGCATGTTTATTCTTAACAAATATTGCATGTGTTTATTCATAAGGGACTGTGTGTGTGTGTGCGCTCTCACAGGGAGGACTTTTCACAGGAAAAGGTAGAGCAAGAGAGTCAAGCTCAAATTCTGTTGGACCAGGGTATCAGCATGATGCAATCCGTTGCTCAGCAGAATGCCAATGTTGTCGAGAAGATGAAGCTGATGCAGATGAGCAGGCACATGGTAATAAAGCCAAAGAAACTATCAGTTTTTTAAAAAAGAAAGTGACATTTTATTTGAGTTTATGGGCTTTACCATCACCCATAAAATTTCACCTTTGCAGAAATTCCTGTTTAGATTTTTCAACCTTCTGCAGCATTTGTTGCTTGGACTTCAAACTTCTGAAGAATGCAAAAACCTTGGTAGACTTTATGACAACTTTAGAAACTTCCTTAAAGCTGCTACAACATACATGTTAGGAATGCATTGTCTTTGATATCATTTGCATTCATTATTGCATTGCATACTTATAATTAGTGGTATTATTTGCTTATTTTACAGGAACTGTTTCACCAGCAGCCACTGAAGTTTGCACTGATGGTCAGAGACCTCCTCAGGCAGGAGAGGGCTCTGATAAATGGAGTAAGTCCCTTTTATGTTAAGTCTAACTAAAGTTTTTTTCCAAAGGCAAACGTATTTATCCCTCAAGTTTTTCCACGTCCTCACCTCAATTCTGCCTATTTTGGCGATCTCTCGTTTTCGTCCTTATGTTGATACTGTGATTATTATTCCTTATTATTCAGACGTGTTGTTATATTTCCAGGGTGGTTACATTTTAGGGTTTCATAGGGGTTTTTGATTACAACGTACCCACTGCATAGATTTCCTGCTGAAACGTAAATCCCCAGTAGTAGCAACAGTTCAAATCCTTGATATTAAAGCATCTTTGAGTCTGTCAATAGGAACAGTGTTATTGCAGGTGTTGCAAGTTGGTGAGGTGGAAATGGGGGGAGGAAGCAGAGAGCACAGATTTAAGTGGAGGCTGATTGGCTCTGATTGAACTAGAGTAACTATTTCATTATTGAGATTGACAGTGTGGGAAAGTGGTAGTGAGAGCGAGCGGTTTTAAGAACAGAAAAACAGCCTAACACCCACGAAAGCAGATAGGTGTCTGATTACAGATCTTCCTTAATGAACTTCATATCTGTTAGGTAGAGGAATTATCTACCAGAAGAGGCGTTGGTTTTATGCAATGAGTGGCAATAAAATTTGTGTAGTTATTTAAAAAACAACATTATTTTCTTTATATAAAAGAAAATGAGTCATGAGTCATAATTCATGCCCACAAGACATCATTGTTTCAAGTTTACTTCTACCCTTATAAAAATACACTGGTGATAGCTGGCAGTCACAAGCCACGAGGTTATATCTCAGGGGGAACCAGGTGAAGCTGATGTGTTTACCAGATACAGTTTATGTTTAATTGTGTAAACTATTGTGTAAAAAACCCCCACAAAAGCAAAAAAGCTGTGGTGCTTTGCAAGTCCATTTAATGTTTTTTCTGTTTATAGACCTCCCCTGCACAGTACCCAGCGTACCCGACGAACGATATGTCCAAGCAGGACGTGGACCAACTGGTCCTGAAGGTGCTCGAAGTCCAGGAGATCCGAAAAAAGATGCACCAGATACAAGAGGAGCTTAACTGGGAGAGGCAAAACTTTGAGAGTGCACACTCACAGGGTAAACGCATGTTTTCCTTTAGCAGTACATGAATGATTAAATACCGTAAGCAGTCAGAGCGCAGTAATAACTGCCAAAAGACTTCAACGGCAAAAATACAGCTTACATCAACAGAGTTCCTGTTTTTCAAGGTTAAATCATAATCTCTTTTTATTGTCTGCTTCCTTTGCTTCTGAGTCTGTTCAGCTATTTTAATTCCACTTGTTAATTTTTTTGGAGGATTTGTTTTTAAATGCTTGAAAAAGAAAGAGTTTTCATAAAAACTTTATTTAGAAGATCATTCTCTGGCGGCGACATGAATTAAAAAAATCCAGGTGCTGCGAATGGAGCTCTAGCTGGTCTGCTCAGTAGGAAGTGGCAGATGTTATCATTTTTCAAAGCAGAATAAGTAGAGATGGCACAGTTACGTGGATGTTGGCGTTTTTTTGTTTTTTTTAGATACCTTAACCCCATTGTCTGGGGATGTTGATATTTATTTTTATCTTTATCTGATTTGATGTGTCAAACCGTCTTTGAGGTCAAGCTTTGTCTAATTATATACAAGACTTAATGTAGTAAGATCAAATGTGAAGCACTCACTCACTTTTTGAAGACCCAATAAAACTGAATGATCAATAGAGGAGGTGCTGCCCACTACCAAAGGATTTCTACGTGGTGCTTTTTGTTTAATGTTGGTCATTAAACAGTACTTGCATGATGCTCTCAAAGAAGTATGGTTAGATATCATTTTTTATATGCATTTAATTGTTCAAGCAGTGAAGCTGTTGGAACCACAAGGTTGTTTTGTTTGTAGGGCTGCAGCTACTGATTAATCAGAATCAGAATACTAATCCCTAAGGAAATGATCTGTTTTATATTTCTGATAAGAAAGCTATTAAAACAGCTGAACAGTCTAAAGTACGAAGTAAAGGACAAAGAAAAAAGTAAGAAAAAGTTGGAGCAAATGAAACAGGCTGCATGCTATTTTAGTAATAGTTACTTTGGTAATAGAGTAATCTATCAATTATTCATTTTATTAATCAAGTAACTGGATAAAAATACTTTTGTCTTAATAATGACTGATAATAAACATTCAAAAGAGAAAAAACACGAGTTTTTCAGAATGAATGAACACATATGCAGTTAAACCCTTTGATTCATGTGCCATATTGAAATTACACTTTTTAAAGAAAGCATTATGCAAACGTTTTTTTCAAACGCGTACATCCAAACTTGAATAAATACTGATCATTTATTCATTCATTGCAGCAAGAAGGTCGTAGGTTAAAATCCAGTGGCTGGCCGTGCCCTTTATGTGAACAGTTTGCGTATTCTCTCTGGGAACTCCTCCCACAGTCCAAAGACATACATGGATTAAGTCAGTTTGCAAATCTAGTCTTTCTGTGGGAACCCTAACTTTCACTGGAATCTGAAAACTCCTCACTGCAACCTTGCACGCCATTCAAGTTGTTGCGGACTCTGTCGAGTCAGTGTGTTGTCACATTTCTTGGCAGATGCAGGTCAGATTGGGTGGAATGCTGTGGAGTGGGGTTACAATGTGGCTTTTTCACTTAGGCATAATTCAGACATTAGACATTAGGTGCGCCCCACTTTTTGCCCTGTGATAGTTACGATAGGCTCCAACCCTCTGTGACCCTGAATTGCATAAGTGGAAGAGGATGAATGGATGGATGAATGTTCCCTTTTTTTTTAGGTCTCCAACATAAAAGTCAGTCTGTCAAAAGAAGCTCACCTTTAGGTTGTGCAATCTTTTCTTTGCCAGAAAGCTTGTTTCTGAGGGGAAAAAAACGTTTTCTACGTACAGCACAGGAATTCCATTTTATTATTTAACTTAAAGCAAAGCAGCATTTCCCAACAATGCAGGAAAGACTCGACATGTCATGTTGCTTCTTGTTTTAACAGGGTCGTTCCAGCAGAATGGACTTGATTCTGCAAATGCAGAAATCAAGAAACTTCAGACTCACATCCAACAGCTGGAGTACAATATACAAGCAATGGCCACGGTGAGCCAAGGGCTTATGTTACCATCATCAACATTACTGGCATCCTCGAGAGAAGTTAAACTAAATGTCTTTAGAAATTTTCAGATTATTAACACCAAAGAACAAGACGAGGTCTTCATCCCGTTTAATTAAACCTGTTTGATTTTGTTGGTAGTTAATAGATAAACAGTTATTACTTGATTACTTGTTTTCAGTTAATAATCAAATTGCAATGTGTTTGGATTCTGGCTTTTGTAGAAACGTTCACAGCTGCTGAAGGAGTCTATGGAGCTGCTGGGCATCTGCCAGAAACGATTTCTTAACAGGCTGACCGAGTGGAGTTGGGAGCAGCGCAAAGCAGCCATAGGATTTCCTTTTGATGACAACCTCAGCCCCCTGCAGACCTGGTGAGCTGCACACCACTCCACTGTTTGTACTCACAGCCTTTGTGGTATTGGTTTATGCCGTCCTGGTTAAAACCCACAATTCAGTGTCTTTGACACACTTGTTTTTATGTTCCAAGTTTAACACTAGAAAGAGGGCACCTTTATGCACACAATCCAGTAACATACCGCACTCTCGTTTAAGAGATGGATTTTTGAAGTCTGCATATTTTCAGTGATTTTCGGATTTATTTGAAAACTTTATTGATCAGTATCCAGATGTAGCAAAGTCGGCCTGGCAGTTGGTTTGATCTGTTGTTTCAGTCTTCATTTTGCTCAAATATGAATTATTAGAACTTTTAGATGGATTGCAGTTGGATGAATTTGGTGATCTCCAATCTACCATTAGAGTCAAGTCCTTTTTTATATCCCTCCTCAGGATCAACTGTAATCACTTTCTTGAATACTTTTTACCACCACTCACTGGACACTCCAATGACTCCATCAGAATTTCAGCTTATTTAACACAGACAAAAAATCTCTGATGGCGAATGACTGTATGAATTATAAATGTATAAATTGGTCAGTTATTAAACAAATATTTTGCATTTTTTACCAGCTTGGATGTTTGTTTTTGCTTTCTTTCTATACTTTCTCTGTTAGGGCTGAGCAGCTTCTTGGGATGAATGGAAACCTGAGACAAGAGCTGATGCTGACTGGGGAACTGACCCCGGAGCTCCAGGAAGGGCTGTCACAACTTGTGCAGGTTTTGATTGAAAGGTAGCACAGTCCCATTGTTTCCTTTCTTGTCTCACAAACAGCAGTGTAAAGGAATCACTTTATTACCTTTTTTTTAAAAGAAGAAGACAGTTTTCTAACTCTGTAACCCTTTCAGCTCTCTTATAGTGGACAAGCAGCCCCCACAGGTGATAAAGACACAGTCAAAGTTCTCCACAACTGTGCGATATCTGCTGGGAGAGAAGGTAGCTCCTGGGAAGCCTGTGTTGGTGAAGGCGCAGATCATTAATGAAATACAGGCCAGGAACCTGGCAAATGTACATGGGTGAGTCGTGTGTTTCTGGGCTGGAATCTGAAATCCCCTCACACTTTGACAGAATATCCTCGCTGTGGCAAATTGTGAGGGAAGAAATAAAAACTGTGACCAAGCTCCATCGCTGGGTCTCTCCTCTGCTCTCTGTCATGGATGCATAAGAGGCGTAGGTCTGCGTGTCTGCTTCCCCAAAGGTGCCACACAGAGCAAATAGGCCTCAAAGAACCTGCAGAAAATTGTGCAGAGCAAACAGAGCATGGGACAAGATCTAACATGTACTTGATGTTGCAATCTTCCCCACATCGGAAGTGTGGAAACTATGGGCATGTTTTCTTATTCTTTATAGCACAATTGGCAGGAAACATTCACACCTAACTTTCAAAGCTCTTCTAAAGCTCCTGTTATTTGCTGTGTTGTTATTAAAGTTTAAATGTTATGTTCACAGTTAAATTAAAATCACCAAAATTCTTAAAATAATTATTTCCCACATTATTTTAACACAATAATGTGGATACATAACAGAAATCAGCTGCAACCATTTATTATTTACTTGAAAGGCAAAAGTGTGAGAAAGCCTAACTATACAATTGTAGCGTTTATCTACAGTAACATTAACAACAGAGTCAGCTGTTTGGTTAGATTTATTAGTTAACACTGAACACCTCATATTGTCAACAAGCATTTCTGCTGTGTAAATTTGATCTGAGGCTGTGCAGGATGTTTGTTTTTTTAGCATCTTGTAGATTAGCACATAATTAAATCAAATTAACTACAGAGGTTAAAACTTTAAGTGGTTAATATCAAGGTACTGACTGTCCAGTATTTGTATGAGGAAATAACTGACAATAAAATGATGTTACCTGCAGTGATAATGTTGGTGAACTCATCAACAATTCGGCCGTCCTAGAACACAACGCAGCCACCAAGAGCACATGCTCCAACTTCAGAAACATGGTATGTGCGGGTCTACATTTACAGCTCATATTTGATTGATGTTCAGCATCGTTGGGAAATGCAAACTTTGTTTTTGATTTAACAGTCCATCAAGAAAATCAAGAGAGCAGACAGAAAAGGATCAGAGTCTGTGACAGAGGAGAAATTTGCCCTCCTGTTCTCCTCAGAGATCAACATCACAGGCTGTGAGACTCCGTACAGGATACAGGTCTGACCCTATCCGGCATTCTGACTGTTGTTTAACTGTTCACATTACACAGTTGACTTGAGTTATTTTGCTAACTTATGATCTGTTTTGTTGAATGCATGCTGAGCACACATACGGTGTAGTTACGGTGACTTTAAAGGGGTCGGGTAACGTAACATGTCTGATTACAGGTGATCTCTCAGCCAGTGGTTGTTATTGTTCACGGGAGTCAAGACAACAATGCTGTGGCCACCATCATATGGGACTGTGCATTTTCTGAGCGAGTAAGTGTGAAGTTCTTCTTTTGATTTTTCCTTTTGACATTCAGTATTGCAGCTTGTCTTTTCTGCTGTTACAAGTGTTTGAAAGCTACAACATACAATATGTGCTTCATACTCTCGACTTCACCCCTGAACTGGAATTCAGCAGGGACTGGCGAGGCATTATATCAACTTCCCCTTGCGGTGGAAGAAACACAGAGGCAGCTGTTAGGAGGTGACTGTTGCTTATAAAATGCACAAATGGAGAAGCAGCAGTTAACAGCATATCCTTTATGCCTTCGATGCTTGTTGCCTCCTGGGAACACGAGGCGGGTCTGGGCCCGCGCTGGAGAGTCGGCGCAGTGGCAGGATGGCTGCTGTGTTGCCTGGGATTACTCCTCATCCCCTACCCAACCCTGTTGCTGGTCACGTGCTCTATGATGTTGTATTGTGGACATTTCTGTGCTTTCTGTGCAGAGGAGTTTTTTTGTTTCCTGTTCTCATGCTGCCTCCTACAGCCCAGCATGAGTAGAGGTCTCTTTTTTTCCTCTTGTACTTTCCCATTGTAGTGTATATTTCAGTGTTTTTTCCTGTAATGCAACCGTTCTCTGACTTGTATCCCCATGTGATGTCTGTGTTGTGTGTGTAAGGTCAGGGGCGGGGTTCATTCCACTGCAGGGCAACCTGCCACTGCATGTGGCAAATAAAAATTGAACTTGAACTTTAAATAAGAGGTGTGGCAGCAGTCATGTGGAAAAAATATGAGTGCAGTGACACACTTGACCCAATGTCCTGAACTTGGCAAGAGTTGAGTGTCCCTAGAGCCTGTGTGTGGGAAAGTGGAAATTTCATAAAAATAGAACATAAATAAATAGCAGACATTTATCATGAGGGAATAAACGCAGTTCACCAAAATTCTAAAGTCTGCATTTAACATCCATAATAGTGCGTTTATATATTTTCCTTTTTCTCTTTCCATTTTAAAATTGGTTTTACTCGTCCCCTCACAAATTAAAAAATAAATAAATATATGTGTATCAGTGTTTTCGCTTTATCAGCCTTTATGTCACTGCCATCAGGACAGAGTACCCTTTGTGGTGCCGGACCGCGTGCCGTGGAGGATGATGTACAACACTCTCAACAGCAAATTTACATCTGAGGTTGGGACGCAGCACAACCTGGACCAGTACAACCAACACTTCTTGGCACAGAAGGTCTTTGATAAGCCCGACTTTAATGAGGATTTCAGCAACATGATGGTTTCCTGGGCCCAGTTTAATAAGGTACGCATGTGTTTCTATTCGCTGGCACAGGTCACTTTGACCTACAAATCTTACGGTGCCTTTCAACATTACAGGAGGTTCTCCCAGGTCGACCGTTTACCTTCTGGCAGTGGTTTGAGGGAGTAATGGAGCTGACCAAGAAACACCTGAAGACCTACTGGAGCGAAGGGTAGGAAGATTCTGCTGCTGTTTCACCAGTGAATGTCAATAGCCTGTGATAAAAAAGCTTACAGTGTTTTGCTCCAACAGGCTGATATTTGGTTTTATTGGGAAGCAGCATCTCCACCTGATTCTCAAAGACAGGCCCAATGGAACATTCCTGCTTCGATTTAGTGACTCGGAAATTGGAGGCATCACCATCGCTTATGTGTCTGCTACTGAAAGTAAGTGTTGACAGACCACCGGTTAATGTTCAATGTTATCTCAGCACCTAAAGCAATGTTAATCTCTTTGACTAATAATTTCCATCATAGTTTTCGTCAACAACTTGTTTTTTTTTTCCTAACAAAAATAAGACGATAACTAAATAAAAACTAATGCACGACGACAAAAACTATGATGACACTTTTGTCGATGAATAAAAACATGATGAAAATGTTCCTGAGTCATGGGATCCAATCAGAACTAATTAAGTTGTGTACATAGGCGGGACAAGTTTGGAAGTGATTGAATCGTTAAATCCTTGTGGAGTCAGGTTAGATGCACACGTCTGATCTGCTGCCAAGAAACAGGTGCTCCCTGTTTCTCACGAAAATGTATCAAAATGTTATAAGAGAATAGCAGACATGTGACCACATTTCACATTTAATGTCAGAGAAAATAAGACACTTTGTGGAGCGACTCACAGAAATCAGAGTTAGTCTAGGAGAACCAGACTGAAAACAATTTAGATGTTTAAATTATGACTAAAACGAAACGACATTTTAGTCAAAAGATTATGAATAAAACGAAAGCAAAATCTGCTGTCAAAATGAACACTGACCTAAAGGATAAAGGCCACTCTTCCGAGGATGCCAGTTTTCAAAGTTTGGACAGAGAAGACAGATGGTTTGAAAGAGGAGTGAAACAGGGGCATCTGTGTTCTCTGTGAACAACCATCAAACAGAGCAGGTGGCTTAAGACACCAACTCTCTGCCACCTACTATGCAGTCTCAAGCTTCACTGATATGTTGCTTTCAGGTGACCTCAATAGTTCACGTGATAGCATAATGCAAGTTCTCACACTGGTTTCACCTGCTCTTCTATGTTGAGCCTGTCTGCCTCTCATGTCAAAGCAAGAGGTGGTCCACTAGTTTTCCTGATTCCCTTTCATACTGAAGGGGGTTCCTCCCAAAGTGCAAGTGCAAGAAGAACATCTTGCATTCAGGTGACCTCAAAAGGTTACATGATAGGGTGAGGCATTATCTCACAGGGGTTTCACCCAAAATCTCTGTCAGTAATGACCCATGCTTTTACCTTGTGATGGGATTAAAAGTGGGTCAGTAACCTTCTTAAGAGGTAACCCCAACTAGGGTTGAAATACCTGAGATTCTCCACCTTTTGGTTGTAGAACCGACCAAGCCTCTTGGATAAGAGGTGAAACGTATTCAAGAAACTTAAAGAAGTCAGTCACTTTCTTTCCAAGCTCCTTATGTGCACCTGCTAAAAATCTTTGAGAAGCTTGAATCTCAGTGACCTTGACCTCAAGAAAATCACCTACAGTTTTCAAATTTGTACCAAAGGTGCATCTACTAGGAGGCTGAGGGGTAGCACTGTTGGCAGCCAGTACTTTTGAGTAAAATATTTGCATTTTACACTGCATTTCGACTCGTTTTGCAATTGGCGGTTATAAACATGAAGTGACAGATCAAACTTTTTTTTCCAGATGGGGGACAAAAAATCCAAAACATCCAGCCTTTCACCAAGAGAGATCTTGAGATCCGTGGCCTCGGGGACCGCATCCGCGACATTGACCACATAACGTATCTGTATCCTGAATTTCCTAAACATGACGTTTTCAGAAAATTCTACACAGGTAATGGTTGTCCTGTACAAAGACCATCATATGTTCTCAGTTTAGGAAAAGAAAATGAAAGTAAAAAACTAACCTCTTTTTTGTGGTTTGAAGCAGAGCCTACGTTGTCCACCAACGAGGGTTACATCCCTGTGTCTCTCCAACTTAAAGTCGGCATGTAAGGATCTATTCATAACAAAATAATACATATAGGGAACATGTCATGTGTATGTGTGTGTATCTTTTTATGTGTGCAGGGATGCCCAACGCCCAACTTCCAGTACACCATCTTCCTTCAACATGTGAGTGTCACTTGTACAGTCTTTGGTACAGTATTTCCATACCACCAGCTGAACCCATCATTCACCTCTGCTATTTAAGGAAGAGTCATTTAGCACAGGCAGCAATTCAATGCTACCCAATTATAGTCACAATTATATTTACAATGAAATCTATGAGGTCACCTGTCATGAAAATAGGAAAACACAAACATTTTAGCGTTTAAAGCTAAAAGTTATTGAAGTTTTAGATAGATAGATATGTTTTTTTTATAAAACAGTGCATTTGAAGGTTCATCGATAACAACAATAATTATATTTTAACATTAATGGTAATGAACAATACTGTTAATTTAAGGTAGGTGTGGCATAAATATCACATTAGGTGGTGTAATTAAACATCCTGATTTATGCTTAATGCCATAATGCACTGAAGCTTCAAATCTAGAAAATATACTTCAGTTATGACAGATCATGTTTCATTTCATGTCTCATTTTGTTTTTGTTGTTAATAGTTAGAAAAGATAATGTTGCAGTAGCTGTGCTGTTGGACTGTTTGCCTTTTTTGTTTCGCTATCTTGGACTTTGGTTACACTTCATATTATGTGCTTTTATTTTGTATGTCCAGGGATACCATGCCCTCGCCTCACTCTAGCTTCAATGTGTAAGTGTTGCTTTTATGTATTTCTCTTTTATACTCAACATCCGCACCAATTACTTAATTTAAATCTTTCAGTGTTTTTCTTTTAAATAACTGATTGACCCACTGTTTTTTTTTTTCTACTGATCTGGACTTTCCTTTTGCTTCACATTGTGTTCTTACCTTTCATTTTACATACATTTGCAGGGAGCCTATAGCCCCAGCACCTATAGTACAAGGGCCTGAGACCTCACAGAGTAGCTTCTCTATGTAAGTATCAAGCCTACACATTTTTTTAATCTCATTTAGAGCAATCTGTTCATATTAACCAGTGATAATGTGATAACTCTATATATTTCACTTCTGTACCACGTACTCCCTGTTTCAACATAAATATCTATAAATTATCAGAAATTATCAGATATTCAGATTCTGGGCACAACAAATATTGAAATGTGAACAACTTTGTTTGAATATTCTTTATTGCGTCTTGAAAACAGCATATCTACAGGTAACTCGCTGTTGTGTACCACATTTACGATGCTACTTGACAGTCTGTGTAATGTAAATAAAATGTTTTCACATTTTATTTACATTAAACGGTGCCACGGAAATAAACATCTATACATGTGCGTGTATTCCTGCTTCACATCGCGGTTCATCTTTCATGGACTCACTACATCACGCATTTATCTGTGAATCTATATCGTGGATTTCTGCGGTCTATACGTATTTTTAATTTTTTTAAAATTTTATTATTTTTGTGGTTTTTAACTATTGCTACTTCTTTCAGGCAACAGTTCCAGTCACCGTTCAACTCATCAGAGTTCTCTGATGAAATAATAGATGGTGCAACAACAGATCCTGGCCTGGAGCCCATGTACGTTTTTTTTTTTGGGTTAATTTCTGTAAGACATCCATTGCAATGGTGACTGATTATTAGACAGTAACATCTTACGCTTGCGCTCTCTTTTTCTAGGCTACCAGATTTGACCTTTTTCGATTAATCTAGAGTCTTCCTGTGGGCTGAGCAAAGAAGAAGCCGGCTAGAGATTGAAGCCAGACTTGTCATGTAACAAACGTGCCACCATTTGAGCAGATTCTCTTCCTTGACTCTCAACATCTAAAGTTTGGACTACGACCAGTGAAGATTTTGAGACAAACTTGATTTGTCTGGGACTCAACATGTTAAGAAAGAGGAGAAAATCAGTTTAAATCCAAAGTAAAACTGAGAACAAACCAGAACAAAAATGCTTTTTTTGCAGCCATCTGTGCCTTTGTGTGCATGTCAACAAGAACTTGCCTAGTGGCAGGTCTGTTAATGTCTTTTCTTTTTGCTTTTCTTTTCTCTTCTGTTGTGTGTGTGTGTGTGTGTGTGTGTGTGTGTGTGTGTGTGTGTG